TTTTTCACTCAATACCCCCCCCAGTCACTCAATCCCCCCGCGTCACTCAATCCCACCCCAAGTCACTCAATCCCTCCCCGTCACTAAATTCCCCTCCCCAGTCACTCAATAATCCCCACCTCCGTCACAAAATAACCCCCCTGTCACTCAATCCCCCCACCCCCGTTGCTCAATCCCCCACCCCCGCCACTAAATACCCTCCATCACTCAATCCCCCCACACCGTCACTAAATACCCCTCCCCCAGTCACTCAATACTCCCCCCATCACTAAATACCACCCCCCGCCCCCCCACCCCATCACTATGGACTCCTGTAGCTCATTGGTTAGAGCACTCGCTTTGCAAGGGAGAGACCTGAGTTCAATTCCAGGCAGAGGGCGAAACCTTGGGCAAGTTTCCTTACTCCACACACCTAATAATAATCCCTCCATAACAAAAAAACAATAATAAATTGGTCATTTTCAATGCACGACTGTTTGTGGAACAAAGTATGATGTGACTGTATTATGTGGAAATAGCTTAGGCTGCAATAACAATTGGAAATCTATCGTAACAATAAATTAAATATTGTTTTTTTCAACATAAATGCTGAACGATAATGTAAATAAATAATGGTATAATTAACATTTGAGTATGCAAGAATTCTGTGAACGTTAGTAATTGCAGTTGCAACGTTTTAATAAAATGTGGAGTCCTGTAGCTCAGTGGTTAGAGCACTCGCTTTGCAAGCGAGAGACCTGAGTTCAATTCCAGGCAGAGGGCGAAACCTTGGGCAAGTTTCCTTACTCCACACAGAGCCTAATAATAATCCCTCCAAAACCCAAAACAATAATAAATTGGTCATTTTCAATCTACGACTGTTTGTGGGACATTGCTGTGCGCAATTGGCTGCCGCGTTCGCCCACAAATATACAGTCAATTCACTTTACAGTGTGTTCTGTGAAGCGCTTTGGGACGTCCTCCCGACATGAAAAGCGCTATATCAAATGCAAGGATTATTATTATTATTATTGCTGTGCGCAATTGGCTGCCGCGTTCGCCTACAAATATACAGTCAATTCACTTTACTTTATTCTGTGAAGTGCTTTGGGACGTCGAGAAGACGTATTATTATTGTTAAATACCAGCCCCCACCAATCACTCAATACAACCCCCACCCCACTCAATACACCCCCCACCCCCCCAGTCACTCAATCCGCCCCCCCAGTCACTCAATCCCCCCCGTCACTCAATAACGCCCCCATCACTAAATACCCCCCGTCAATAAATAACCCCCCCACCAGTCACTCAATACCACCCCCCAGTCACTAAATACCCCTCCCGTCACTCAATACCCCCCCCAGTCACTCAATAACCCCCCAGTCACTCAATACCCCCCTCCAGTCACTAAATCCCGCCCCCCAAACCTTGGCTCTTGCCAACATTTGCCTGATACTCTCCAGGTTGCGTACCTCCAGGGAGAGTGCACATTCATACCACACACGGGGAAATTTCCATGTGCAAGTGGTATAGATATCTGGAACTCTCAGTCTAGTTAGATACTCTTAAGCATGGTACTGGGTTTCTGCAACTTAAATGATATATTTAATAACTGCATTATACTGTATTTAAAAGTGCATATGACAAATTTGATATACTTACCTGTCAGGACAGTATGTTAACAAATTGATTACGTAGAGTGCGTGGAACAGAGTTAATTTATTAGATTTCAATGTTGTGCAAAGCTTCCAGAATTCCTTCAGCAAAGCCTAAATAATATTTTTATCCTTATGGAATACATGTTTTTCTGAGGGTTGTAACAGTTGCACTGGAGACAGATAATTTGTCAATGGGCACAATTTCACAACATTGGGCAGCTGTTTTACACACACCAAAAAATTAGCAATTGCAATTATTTATTGCTCAGTTTCAAAAAACGGAGATATCAGGAACAAAATCAATCATACTCCATAGCAGCATCTGTTCTAACAGACGTATCTTGTATGATTAAACAAACCCATGGTGCCGAAATATGAAAGATGCCTTTTAAAATTGATGAGATAAATATAAATTTATAAACGATTCACTGGTCAGGCTCCATCACTGTTATGCTCTCCGAGATGCTACCCTGCAAGGAGGGAGCTATATAAATGCAAGTTGTTGTTGTTGTACATTATTCTGGCATCTATTCGCTAGGTATTTTATTTCCTTTGTGTTTTTTGCTTTCTTTTCTACTCTTAATTTGGACAATTTTTAAGTCAAAATATTAAGAGAGAAGTTAATATTCTTCCACACCCTCTTTCTCTAAAAAGACATAAGGGGTGGAATATTCATCACCAGTGATCATTGCTGAATTGCAGAAAATTCCCTCCTGTCATTTTCTGTCGTTAGGTGCGCAATGTTTGTGAATGAAGTTGCCTGTGACAGCCATTTGAACTTGCCAGCTCCCAAAGTGCCAATTTGCGGAATGTCAGTTTAATTCAGCACAAAAGGTTTTTATTTTGGTTGATGCGACCAAATCATTTGAAGAAATAACATCTAGGTAACTAGGTATTAGCCAAGCCACAGAATAAAGGGTCTGAGAGATCCTATACAGAATAACAAACTTACTGTTCTCTTACCAGAATAAATAATTATTCTTACATTTGGTATAATGCCTTTCAAGTCAGGAAGATGCCTCAAAATGGATTTAAGGTAAAGTGAAATGTCTGTGTGCTTTGTGGGCAATCTGTTTTGTGGAGTCCTGTCGTTTAGTAGTTAGAGCACTTGCCTCGCAAGTCAGAGGACAAGTGTTCGATTCCCAAGCAGGGCGAAATGTTGGGAAAGTTTCCTTTCTTCACACGCCTTTGTTTACCAAGCAACCAATTGGAACCTGGTTGTTAGTCGATTGGCGGATCACTTGTCCCTTCAAAAAAAATTTGGTCACTTCAATCCACAACTGTGTGTAGGACTCTGCTGTGCGCAATTCACTGCCGCATTTAGCCCACAAAATATACAGTCAATTCACTTCACAGTATATTCTGTGAAGCGCTTTGAGACGTCTAGAAGATGTAATAAGGCGCTATATCAAATGCACGGATTATCATTATTAGTAGTAGTTGTAGTAGTATTAATCACAGCTGCCAATTTTGTGCAAAGCATTGTCCCCCAAATAGCTATGAAGTGAATGACCAATGTTATTGGGGGATTGATCGCAGGTCAACAATAGAAACACTTCACTTTAAAAATAGCGGCAAGTGAATCTTAACTTCCATCCTAACAACGAGACAGGACAATGGTTTAACTTTGATCGGAAAAACGACACCTCCAGCCACCCTCAGCACTACATTGGAGTATTAGCTTCCCTCGACTATTTAGAACCATAGAAATTTACAGTACAGAAGACGGTTATTTGGCCCATAATGTCAATACTGCCACTTTTAAAAAGCAATCCTTTCAATCCCATTTACTTGCCCCTTTGCCATACCCCTATCATTGACACGATTTAAAGGTTTCTGGAGATTTCAGACTTTAATTGCTATTTCAAATAAAAGTGATTGATTTCACATGAACAAATTTTTCAGTCAAACTGTACATTCACAAAATTCACTGGGCAGCACAGCTCATTGGAGCTTCAATTTATTGCACTAAACTCACGTCTGTAATTCCCTACAGCGAGATTCTAGTTTGAATGTTCATCCTATAGACTGCTCAGGTATTCTAGAACTACAGAAATTTACGGCACAGAAGAAGGTCATTCGGCTCATTCTGGCTTTGCTGGTTCCCTCAAGAGTAATCCTTTCAGTCCCATTTACCTGCCCAATCTCAATACCCCTGTGGCTGACTCTTTTTAAGGTATTTATCTAGTTTCCTCTTGAAGGCCAACATGAGTTCCTTCTTCCAGTGGTGGCCAACCCATAGCCCTCAGGCCAGAAGTGACCTGTGGAGCTGTCAAGGAGCTCCCCCCCTACCCCTCCACCCCACGAACATTCGCATTAGACTAGGTAAGTCCATGTTCACTCAATAGTGTGTTTCCAGTTTTTTACTTGATTGAATATTTCTTTATTTATGGCATAGATCAAGAAATATTCAATCAAGACAATTTATTTTGTTGGCCAACCAAAACGTTGGGACACCACTGCCGTCTCCTAATTGTTCTGTGTGTGGAAAAAAAATTCTCCTAAACTTCTCATTTGCTTGTTTAATAATTGTCTCAAACTGATCCCCTCTATTTACTGACTCAATGACCAGCAGAAATAATTTCTCACTATTTAGTCTATCAAAACCCCTCATAATTTTAAAAAATTCCCTCAGTGTAGTGGTTAGAGTGCTTGTCTGGGTTCAATTCCCAGGCGGGGAAACACCTTAGGCAAGTGTGCTTACTACACACGCCTCTGTTTACATAGCAATAAATAGGAATCTGGTTGTTAGTCGATTAGCAGATTGCTTTACAGCGCCTTGGGACATCCTCCCGGCGTGAAAGGCGCTCTATAAATGGAATCTTGTTGTTGTTGTTGTAATAATCCCTCAAAAAAAAATTGGTCATTCAATCCATGACTGTTTGTGGGACACTGCTATAGTCAATTGGCTGATGCTTTTCGCCACATAATACATCGTCAATTCATGTTACAGTGTATTCTGTGAAGCTCTTTGAGATGTCTCAACGACGTGATAAAGCGCTATAACAAATGCAAGGATGATTATTATTATTATCATCTTTATCAGGGTACCCATCAATTTTTTTTTCCAGTGGAAATAATCCCAATTCCTCAAGTTTCGGCTCATAGACCAAACTACTCAACCCCAGTATCATCCTAATAAATCTTCTCTGCTCGCCTTCTATCGCCTTGACATATTTCCAAAAATGGAATGACCAATACTGGGCACAGTAGTGTAACACCACTCCAGCTAATGATTTATATAAGATTAGCATTATTTCTTTGCTTTTACATTCTATATTTCTATTTATAAAACCTAAAGCTCCATTAGCATTTTAGCAGCTTTGTCCATCTGTCCACCCACCTTTAAAAATGTATTGAAGTATTGAACTATACTTTTGATGTATCCTATTGAAAAATTGAAATATTCTATTGAAGTATTCAAAATCTTTAAGAGTACAGTTGAATAATGTTTCAAATTGAAGCAGCCTCTATAATAAAGGGAATACTGAGTGAAGCAATAATTTTAATAGAGCGATGAATATGTGGAATAGTCTGCTCAGGGAGCAGGTAGAGGCAGCAAAATCAAGAGGAAATTAGATAGCTACTTGGTGACGAAATCAATTGAGGGATGTAAAAGCTAAAGCAGTGTATTTTTTTCTTAATTTGGGACAAACCTAATAGACCACAATGGTCTTTTCCCATTCTACCACCTAGCAGTCATAACCTAAATGGAAGTTGGTGGCCAGGATCCTCTCTGGTTTGGAAAATGGGTGGCACAGGAATAGAAAAATAAAAAAGTAGCAACAAATTCAGAATGCACTTATTGTAATGCTTGCAGTCGGGGAGCGGCGGCAGGACAGCGCGGGGAGGAGCCTGGGCCTACTGACCCAGGTACTTAAACTCGACGCCGGAGCGAGTTCAGCCCCGGGGGGGGGGGGGAGGGGAGGGAGGTGTGGGGGCGGAGCGGGGGAACTGCGACGTCATAGATTAGTTTTCAGGTGAGTGCGCGCGCAAAAAAAAAAAAAAAAAAAAACCTCTGCGCCCCCCCCCACCCCCCCCAGGGCTCACATCAGAGCCCACTATGGTCCTGTTGGGTTCGCTGCCCCAATCTGCGGGATAATGCCATCCACCTGACCGCTCGCTCCCGGTCCCCGCGTGCGCACTATGGCTGCCGCTTTGACCCGAGCCCCCTCACCCCCTCCCTCCCGCCCCCCTCCTCTCTCCCCCCAAACCCTCCCCCCTCTGCATCTCTCCCGCTCTCTCCTCCTCTCTCTCCGTCCCTCTCGTCTTCTATCCCCACTTGACCCTCCCACAACCTCCCTCTGTTCCAGCCTGGGAATCCTCCGCCGGGCTCACCGTGGCACTCGGCGTTGGCTGTCCAGCAGCAGCCACACCGACTGCCCCATTCCCCACCACACTCGCCACCCACCCCGGACACAGACCCGGGGAGTCAACCTCTCCTCCCTCATCCCCATTCCCCCCACCCCTGCCTCACAACCTGGACCCCCCTCCCCTCCCACACACCCTTCTGTCAACCGCTCCCTCCACATCGGACTGCAAAATGTCCGCTCCCTCTGCAACAAGGCCCTGGTCATCAACGATCTCATCCTTGATGAGAACGTTGATATCATGGCCTTAACAGAAACCTGGCTCACCCCAGGCGACACCTTCCCCCTCACGGAGGCCACGCCACCCGGCTACACCTCCCACCACATCCCCCGCCCCAACCGCCGTGGCGGTGGTGTTGCCCTTATCTCAAGGACACCACTTGCCCTATCCCCCTACTCCACTGGCTCTTTCCCCTCCTTTGAGCACCTCACCCTCTCCCACCCCTCATTCCTCTCCCTTAAAATCCTCCTCCTCTACCGGCCCCCTAAAACCTCTCCCACCTTCATCTCTGACATTTCAACACTCCTCACATCTCTTTGCCTCTGCTCCGATCGCCTCATCATCCTGGGCGACTTTAACCTACACTTCACCCCCTCCTGCTCCATCTCCACAGACTTCTCTTCCCTGCTCTCCTCACTCAACCTCTCCTTACACATAAACTCCCCCACTCACAGTCACGGCCACCCACTCGATTTGGTGATCACCCGGGGCCTCAGTGTCTCGGATGTCACTATTACCGACAAGGCCATCTCTGACCACTACTTCATCTCCTTCACCACCTCCACCCCCCTCCCCACCTCCACCAGACCCACCACCATCTTCTACCGCCCTTGGAAGAAGTTACCCCCACAATCCCTAACCGATGCCTTGGAGTCCTCTGAACTCCTCTCCCTCTGGCCTTCAACCCTCACCGACCCCTCTTCTCCTCTCTCCCTCCTCCACAATACCCTCTCCTCCACACTCGATACTCTTGCCCCCATCACTTCCCGCACTGTCTCCTACTCCCGCTCCTCCCCCTGGTACACCACCCACCTCCGCTCACTGAAAAGCCAGGTGCGGGCTGCTGAACGCACCTGTGTCAAATCTGGCCTAACGGTCCACCGACAAATCTGGCTGGACCTCCTCAAAATTTACCGCTCCACTCTAGCCTCGGCCAAGTCGTCCTTCTACTCCAGGATAATCCTGGAGGCGAAGAACAACCCCAGGCTACTGTTTTCCACCACAACCCGACTCCTCCGTCCCCCCCGCCACCCCGCGCAGGTCATCTCCTCCAACCTTCACTGCGAGGAGATGCTGGATTTCCTTGAATCCAAGATCAAGGGAATCCGCTCCGCGGTCACTTCCCCTCCAACTTCCACCCACCACCCACCCCTTCCCTCCCACACTCCGACTCCTACCCATCCTCCCCTACACACCTTCGTACCCGTTTCCCCACCCTCTGTCACTGAACTCATCCTATCCCTAAAACCAACCACCTGCTCCCTTGACCCCATCCCCACTCCACTCCTTATCTCCCAGCTCCACTTTCTTGCCCCACATATCACTGACATCATCAACCTGTCCCTCTCCTCTGGCTCTGTCCCCATTCCATTAAAAACTGCCATCATCACGCCCACCCTGAAAAAACCCTCCCTTGATGCGTCGCAGCTATCAAGCTACCGGCCCATCTCCAACCTCCCCTTTCTCTCCAAGGTCTTGGAAAGAGTTGTCGCCTCCCAACTGCGCTCTTTCCTTTCCACCCATTCTCTTTTTGAACCCCTTCAGTCAGGTTTCCGTGCTGCTCATAGCACAGAAACTGCCCTGGTCAAGGTCACCAATGATATCCTGACCATCTGTGACCAGGGCTCCCTCTGTCTCCTCGTCCTCCTCGACCTATCGGCAGCATTCGATACGGTCGACCACGCTATCCTACTCCACCGCTTGTCCTCCCACCTCAACCTTCAAGGCACTGTCCTTGAATGGTTTAGGTCGTACCTTTCTCACCGTCTTCACTTTGTCTCAACGAATGGCTTCTCCTCCACCCCCCGTACTGTCTCATGTGGTGTCCCTCAGGGCTCTGTCCTCGGTCCCCTCCTCTTCACCCTCTATATGCTCCCCCTCGGTGACATCATCCGCAGACATGGAGTTAACTTCCACATGTATGCGGATGACACCCAACTCTACCTTTCCTCCTCTACTCTCAACTCCACGACCACCGATGTCCTGACAGCCTGCCTGTCCGACATCGAGTCCTGGACGAGAGACAACTTTCTTCAGCTCAACGTGCGAAAAACCGAGGCCCTCCTGATTGGCTCACGTCAGCGCCTCCGCACCTCAGGCGCTGACACCATCAGCATCCAAGGCTGCACTCTCCACCTCTCAAAGCCAGTCAGGAACCTCGGCGTTTTGTTCGACCCTTTCTCCCTCACATCCGCACCACAACTGGCACCGCCTTCCATCACCTCCGGAACATCGCCAGACTACGGCACTACCTCACCCCTCACGCTGCTGAAACCCTGGTTCACGCCTTTGTCACCTCAAGGCTGGACTATGGGAACTCTCTCCTCGCCGGCCTTCCCGCCACCTCCCTCCACAAGCTGCAGGTCATTCAGAACTCTGCAGCTCGTGTACTGTCCCGCACCAGGCTTCGGGACCACATCACTCCCACCCTCGCTCGCCTCCACTGGCTCCCCATCCCCCAGAGGATTGATTTCAAGATCCTCATCCTCACCTACAAGGCCATTCACGGCCTTGCTCCCTCCTACCTCTCCAACCTACTATCCCCCTACCTACCTGCCCGTACCCTCCGTTCCTCTGGCTCCGGTCTGCTCCACGTCCCCCGCCCCAACCGCCCTACCATCGGTGGTCGGGCCTTCAGCCTCTCAGCCCCTAGGCTCTGGAACTCCATCCCCCAGTGCCTTCGCCTTGCTTCCTCCCTTTCCTCCTTCAAGGCCGGTCTCAAAACCTTTCTCTTT